CATAAACTTAATTGAACCCAACTTAATTGATTCAATCAATCGCCAGGAATTCGTAGTAAGACAATGTTCATAACTCATTTTTGTAGCAATAGCCAGTAGCACTGATGAAAATGGTTGCAATCTTTTTGTAGTGAAGCTGCTGACATCAAAACAGGCTGGAAAGTAAAGAGTGGACATGCCTTGAGCCACCCCTTTTTCAGCAAACTAATGGATTCAACTGTGGAGTACGTTTTTGTAAGGTAACCTCTAGAGTACTAAAAAGCATTAGATAAGTGAGCTCATCAGTACCAATACCATCAACATCTTTAAAATTAAACAGTTAAAATAAAATGATGTCATTCCATAGCAGTTTTTAAAGAAACATAATCAGAATATTTACATTTTTACATCAACCAATCTTACATCATATATAATATAACTGCAAGATCTATCTTTAGTTTGCCAGGAACTTGTGTGATAACAGGCTGATCACAAAGGTCAATGTTTCTATTGAGAGAATGAAGTTTCTATCCAACTTGTTGGGGAGCTGTTATGATGACATTTTGAGGTACAATAATTATGCCTTTCTTGTTATAAGAATCACCACTGTGTATTGTGTTTAATCCCAAATAACAAATTGAGAATTAAGCAATTATTTCGCACTTTAACTTCACTTTTTGGCAGTGGAAGGGATGTTCTTGTTTGCAAGGTGTGTCAGATGGATGACAATGAAGACTGGCCTGGCTGCAAAAGATGTGGACAGTTTTTCCATGCTAGTTGTGTAGGAGTGAACTTTGTCACGGCATTGCAAGATCCTTTCTTTTATTGTCCATGATCACACACTTAAAAACACACAAATAGCAACATATTTAGGAGTCCTCTTCTCATTTTTTAAAGTATGTGATGGAGTTGTGGCTCAGCTTGTTCAAATTTACATTCGAGGAAAAAATAATTGTTAGAAAGTGTATTTTCTAAAATAAGCTATATAATTTAAAGCATATTTTTCCAAAGAATATGTGGTAAAAGGGCCTAAGAGGTGCACTGTTAACAGACAAATCATTTAAGTCAGTCAAAATTTTACCGACTGAATGTGACCAGTAGTACTTCTTTGTTACAGTCACAGCAAATGTTCCTTGATTTAGGCACTCGTTTGCTGAGAAACTCATGAAATAGATAGGTCATGTTCATTAAACATCTTTTTGGACAAGAACCGTGGAACCAACAATTTCAGAAACAGTAATCGTAAAGAAAGCAAGAAAGAACCAAAAGGGACACAAACAAGCAAAAGACAAAACAAGAAGCAGGTGATAAAATGCCCTTTTTTACACTGTACATTCCAATCTGATTGATGAACCATTTGCCAACCATTTACAAGACATATGGTCGAAGCATTAGACTGTAAAGGTCGAGTTCTAAATATTTCATATCCTTGTACTGGTAACAAAAAATGAAAAAAAACCACTGAACTTCAAGCATTACACGTTTGCCACTTGTTTGTGTATAAACACTTTCTTTCCCAATTTCAAAAGCAATTCCCAGTATCTAAGAGTTATATGGTGGGTAACAGGGGGGTGGGAGGTGTACTGGAGGCGAGAGGGGCAGGAACTGGGTAAAATATTTAGCAAAATTGCATAAACTTTTGCAATGAAAATAAAACATAGAGCTGAGAGCCATCAAATAAGGGAATGGGAATCGGGATGGCCAGACCCCTCTATCCCTCACCCCTCCCTGCAGTAATTTGAAATCCAAGTTTTCCCAGATCATACGATCACACTTGAACCCCCCTCCACCTACTCAAACTGTTATTGTGAAGGACCTGCTCTACACCATGACTAATTCGAAGCTGACGTCACACACCCTCACCGGGTGAAAAAAATATGTATATGCATTAGAAATAACAAGTTATCACTCTGTTTCGATCCAAACATTTTGTGATGGCAAGAGAAACATTCTAAAAACATTCACTGGAATTCGCAGAGTAATGTTTTATTGATTCGCTACAACCAAATGAACTCTTCCAGTAAGCTCTTTCTTACCCCGCGAAAATCGTCTTTTCGCGGGAAAAAGTCAAAAACGTGAATATGAATTTCATATATTCACAGCCGTTTAAAAAGTCAAAAACTTTCTCAGTTGACAATTGTCTTTGAAGTCAAGCTTTGTCTTCATTCTCAATCTCTAGATCTCTAATTATTACCTGCGAATTGCACACCGCTTATTCCACTGTCCACTTCAGAAACCATCATCCATTGTGGCTGTTTCATTGAATAATTT